AAAGATAGACACTTCATAAATAATCATAGTATCCTGCTATGGTTGTGATGAAAATATGAAAAATCTCTCTTGAATAGTTCATGAAAATTACTGATTTTTATTCCTATCTTTTGAGATTGATCTTTGCTGTGGTTTTGTCCCTCTCACCCCAGCTTTATATTTCACATCTTTATATACTATATAAGCGACTTAAGCGTTTGTCGCCGATATTTTATTGTTGCCATTCGGAAAAATGAGCGCGGAAATTAACAATTCCGCAGTTTTTAATTGATATCTCGGCTGATTAAAGTCATATGAAGATAAGAATGGTATCGATGGATTCGGAGAATTTTTTGGAATCCTAGGATATGTGTCTTGAATTTCAACTCGGCGCCGTTCCGTAGATATTCGAGAAAAAAGAATTTGGCACGTAACCAAATATCTGTATAGGGAAAACGTAAGGGAAAATTGGTTTTTAATTAATATCTCGGCTAATTAAAGTTCCACGAAGACACGAATGGTCAAAATGGCGTGCCACGGACCAGTAAAATCCAATGGTGTGCTTCGCTAAGCCCGGGAGCCAGCTGTTTCGGAGGAGATGACTTAGACATATCTATATTACTGAGCTATTGCAGGCACAACGTTGTCAGTTCCTTAAATTAAGCCCAAGGGCACATGACATAATGAATTCTGAAAATGGAAGACATGTCGGAAGAGAAAACGGAGAAAGGAAAATTGAAAGGGGTACCAAAAGGAACAAGGGCAAAGGCATCTACGGAACTTCACAAGATAAAGAAAATCTGAATGGATCCATGACAATTCAGAGAAATGACAAAGGATGAGATGATGTTATTTCACCCAGGGTTCGTACGGTCCTTAAAAGTCCTTAATTTTTTTGGAATCGATTTTTGCTCCTCAAAAGTCCTTAATTTTGGCCAAAATCAGTAGAAGGTCCTTAAATTTAATCATCTGAAATTTCTGTCTGTTTTTATGGCTGCCATTTTGAATGTGAATTAGCATTTTAGAGGAACATTTTTGGCGATTTGCTGACGTATATGGTTACCTTTTGAATGGGATTAATTTGTTTCTATTTCTAATATAAATGATGGGACTCGAGTTTCTAAGCAAGAAGTGAAACATAAGCATTTCGAAATTCATTGTTTGTAATAAAGAGCTCTTAAACAATTTTCACTTTTGGGGATATGAATTCTTTTATTAAACGGTTCTAAATTTTCGACTTATCAACATTTTGGCGATTTTAAGATCTGTTTCTATAGAAAATTTTTAATTCCAAAATCTGAGAATTTTTCAACGATTTTTTTAAAACATCATAACTTTGATAGATTTTATGTGTAATATATTGGAATTATATTTAAAAAATAACATTAAAATAAAACATTTTTATTTTTCACTGTCATATAAAGTTTCATTTTGGCTACTTATTATACAATATTTTGTATCTAAAAAATAAACAAGGTATAATGTTATAAAGCATAATTTATGAAACATCTCTTAGCAAAAACAAAATTAACTATGTAATTAATTAAAAATATCTTGTTTTTAATTTTTTCATAGTAAGCATATTTCCCATCTAATGGTCTCAGAATATTCAAAATTCTGAGATTATGCATCAGTTTTCTCTATAAAATTAATTTTGCACTTTTTTCCCCCCCCCCCCCAAAGTATTTCTGGCTTTTTGCTGTTACAAAATTGGTTGGGATAATTTTTCTGTAGTATTTTTGACATTGCAGCTTAAAAAATTTAGAAAGATTTGAAGGCAAGATTTATAGACCACGATTCTAGAAGATTCGATAAATATGTGACAAAATGAAAAATGTCTCCATGGTATCAATGCGTAATAGATGTATTTTACAGAAAGTTTCCAATGAATTTCTTACTTTTTGGAGAACGTCTGGAAGAACAATGAAGACATAATATTTGAATGTTTTACTCCTGATACTAGATTCTTAACATGTTTATCTTCCCTTTATTTTCTCTAATTTTCACTAGACACAAGCATGGAAAATTTCAAAAATGCTTTTAATCTTATCACTTGGGCTGGCATTATAGAAAGGTTTTTTTTTTCATTAATTGAAAACTTACAATTTAAAAGATCCATCTAATATGTCTTAATTCATAATATGCAATCTCTGTGGATCCTAAATTTGACTGTATAGTGCCTTTCTAAATTCTGCTTCCAATGCCTGTCTAAATTCTAAAAGTTTTGCCATTTCTAGATTTTGTTGTTTGGTGTGTCACTAAATTCTAAAAATTCTGCAACACCAGCTCTGTAACTGGCCTTTACAATATTATTTCATATTTCTTCTGAAATCCATATTACTAAAGAAATTAAATTAGTCACTTTTTCTATACATTCTAAATGCATTTAGTGTTTTTTAGAAAAACAGAATCAGAAATCCTTAATTAAATCCAAAAATTCTAAAATAAAAAGGAAACTGAATACATAAAGAAAATTATTCTTCAAAAGATATGTGCAGTTATTATTATGTAAATTACACAATTGTTTATGATTTCAGCCTTTAGTATAATTTTCCATTTCTGTTTCCTCATATGATAGAATTACTGAGCCAGATTAAATTAAGTTGTATAATCTTTGACCACTAGTCCACATTTTTAGTTTGAATTTGACTGTTCTTGTTTAATTACATCACCGTGAGATGTAATTGAAGCATCAGAACATGCCTTCATGTTTGTTCTTTTTAAATAAGAGGCTTATTTAAAACTTTGTCTGATATTGTAGTTACTTTCAGACATAGTGATAATTTGCTTCACGTCTATTGGGGGTTTTGGACTATTTAACTTTTACCAGATCAAATAAACCCTCATATGTACATTGTGGAGAGGTTGGCAAGTTAGGAGATAAAGCACGCAGAAACTAGCGAGAGCATTGGTTTGCATATTGAGACAAATCTCTAATTGTTAGAAAAGATACTTAAATAGAGAAGGAAATCGATATAAACTAGACAAAATGTCTGGGAAGGCTTCAAATTAAAATGATGAATAAATATTTTGTTGGGTGTTGTTGTTACAAAACATAAATGTTTTGTAGCTTTCAATGTGTAATTATTCTAATATCCTTTAAGAATCAGTATCGTAAATTACATGCATTTTAAACTGTGAATTTTTATTAGATTTTGATTTTAATAGGCCTTTTTTAACAAATACTGTTAAAAAATTTTAATAGTGGCCATGTAAATCCATAATGACTAAAGTTAACTATTTACCTAATATAATTATTTATAACTAACTGCTTACATCTTTATATATTAAAGCGAGTTATTGCCTTTCATTAATACTCACTGTGATCACAAGATAAAACACAAAAATGTAGAAATTCAAGTATAACTTATTCTTTGCATCTAGTGAGACTTAAAATAATGTAAAAGAACTTATCCCCCCTGGTGCTTTAATGGCTTATTGGAACCTGAAAGTATATTAAATAGGTTACAACCCCTGGAACTCTACACAAAGCTATGACACTAACTGCATCAAACAGAGCCTGACTAACTTTCAACACTTGCCAACCGTGCCTACATCAGGCCTTTCAGGTTTGTTCTAATCAGCAGGTCTCTCTCTAGACAAGCAGCAGCGGTGATAACATTCAATCTTTTGTTATGAATGATGCTGATTATGATCTTGCTTCTCATTTTAACTTATGCCATTTGATATAAAATCTGTATCTGCTATTTACTAAACCTCTAGACCAGCGGTTCTCAACCTTTTGACTAACGTGTACCATCTAAACAAAAATTGAAAACCTTTAGTACCACTACTACAAAGTACTGCTACCAGTTACTGTTTTGAAATAAACAGCTTAAAATACTTTGCTTGTTTGTGTACCACCTATGTTTTTTCTTGCGTACCACCGGTTGAGAACCTCTCCTCTAGACTGACCAAGTATGTGACAAAATGAGGCATAAAAAAATCAACATAAAGCTAATTATTAGTAAATTTCAAATATGTCAAACCCATTATTATTGTAAAATATTTAATGCTACTTGGTAAACTGCATGGAGTTTTATTTTATTCTCAAACTTATTAATAATTATGTTCATTAATTTATGTTTAGTAATAATGCATACTACTTAGGGATCTATTTTATTTTTAGGATGATATTACAAAAGGCATTGAGGCATAGAATAATATTTTTAATTAATATTAATTGCGTCGTGGCACGCAATGACCTGGAAGTTGATCTGTCAGCACTATCGTTATCTTCAGGGCAGATGTTTTTATTTTATTCGGCTTATAATTCCTTACTAAATGTAGTATTTCTTGTCGATGTACTCCGTCGTTGATATGATTTAAATCAAATTCCTTGTCATTATAAATATCACGAATACAAATCAAATAGTTTTCTGGTTGCAATTTTCTAATTTCGGCTATGCATAATGTATGCTTTACGCATGCGCGCGTTGAAAGAAATGTTTAATAAAGTAAACAAATAAATATTAAGCTTCTTTTTTTGTAAATTTTGATACCCTTTAGATCATAATTGCTCATTATTTTATAAATTATGGTTTCATATTTTTAATTTTATAATTTCTGCATGCCATCTTACCAGATTTAAACTGATGATCTATAATCCGGAATCGCCGAAGTCCCGACGAGTCCGGATTAAAGACTTTTGACTGTATATATAAATGTGGAATATGGAAATATATATACAATATTAAACATAAAATTGAATATTCAGAAAGAAAAGTGATAAACCAAATAATATTTTTTATTACTTTATAATGTAAAAAAATATTTAAGACATCTCATCGGTAGTGTATTATTTGTTTTTATTGTTTAACAAAGAATACTAAAATTTGTTAGATGTTATTATTATTCAAATTAACATTTGAATTTCTAATTATTTTGTAATATTAGATAGCTTACTTTTAAAAAGATTAAATAATTGAAGTTTGAATAACTAGGATATATAAAGAATGCAGAGATTTATTATTTATTTACTTATTTTTTTTTAATAATCAGTATGTTATTTTATTCTGTAGTCCTTCTCAGAGCCAGATGATGACATCATTACAAATGGAAGAAGAAGTAAATTTGGAACTACTTAGAGAGAGAGAAGCAGCAGTCCGTAAATTAGAGGTAATATAAGCACAATGTGCAGTGTAATCATACTGCTATTTATTTTATTATTTGCTATGCTACAACTAAACAATCAAACTTAAAAAAATTAATTTCTATGTTATTAAACATTTCAGTAATTAAGAAATAATACCTAATAAACAAGTAAGTAATAATAACTAACCATTAACAAGTCCAATAATGCAGCAAAGTAAAATTTGTAAGAGAATAAATGGTATCCTAAACAGAATAAATTATCGGGTTGTCCGGAAAATAATGCAGGTTTTTGCAGTTGTTTATCTTTCCTGTACATTTTTATCAACAACAACAACAACAAAAAATAAATAAATAAATAAATAAATTGGTTTATATATTATTTTGGAGCTCTATTTTCACTCTATATTTCTATAATAATCATTTTGTTCCAAAATCATTTTTAAAAATATTTACTTGGTGTTTTTGTGTAGATGTCAAAACAGGATTTTCTGCAAATTTACTTTTATGAGTACAAGCTAGGCCATGGCGCAGTACAAACGGCTCGAAATGTGAACTAAGTATGGGGCGAGAAACGTTTTAATAAATCTACAGTTCAACGGTGGTACCCAAAGTTTCATTGTGTAAAATTTGACCTGGAAGATCAAGAGCGTCTTGGACGCTCTTCAGCTGTTTATGACCATGATTTGAAAACAAACCTGGGCACAACTTTTTGAGAGCTTGACGTAAGAAAAACAACAATTTCTGATCACTTGAATCGCATAGGAAAGTCAAAGAAGCTTGATAAGTGGGTGCCTCACGAATTGAGCGAAAATAAAAAAAATCGCGGTTTTGAAGTGTTGTCTGCTCTTCTTCTCCGCAACAAAAACAACGCTTTTCTTAATTGAATTGTTACGTGCGATGAAAAGTGGATTCTCTCTAATAACTGGCGACATTTGGCTCAGTGGTTGGACTGCGGTCAGACACCACAACATTTTCCAAAGCCAAATTTGCACCAAAAAGAAAATTATGGTGACTGTTTGGTCATCTGCGGCCGGTCTCATCCACCACAGTTTCCTAAATCTGGGTGAAACGATTACAGCAGATAAGTACTGTCTGCAAATCAATAAAATGCACCAAAAATTGCAACGTATGTGCCTGGCATTATTGGTCAACAGAAAGCGGACAGTCCGTGATGATGCTTGGCTGCACATCGTGCAAGTGACCCTCCAGAAATTGAACGAATGGGGATACGTGACTCTCCCTTTTTCCACATATTCGCCTGACCTCTTACCGATCGATTACCACTTTTTGAAACATTTTTCAGAAGAAATGCTTCAGAAACCAAGATGAGGTCAAAAACACATTTAACCACTTTATCGCATCCAGAACTCCAGAATTTTATTCTACCGGCATAAACTTATATCTCGTTGGTAAAAATGCATTGATTCGGCTGGTGTTTATTTTGATTAATAAAATTGTTTTTGAATTGAGATATGATACTTTAAAGATATAGGTTAAAAACCTGCATTATTTTCCGGACAGCCTAATAATACTTTTTTCTTTAGATATCATTCACTGTTTTATATTGTGATATGTATTAAAATGTGTTATTTTCAGCTATGTTTTTTACATAATAGATGCCCTTCTCTTAAGAAAAATTGATTTGGAAAGTCTAGGAAAAAATTGTGCATGTTATTATAAAACAGAAGATTGGTTCTTGATACGAAAACATATGCTTCAAACAAATAATAGTAAAATCTGTTTCTAAATATGTGCAGTTAAACCTGTCCAATTGTGGATATTTTGAGGAAGTTGAATTTTGTTTACTACATAGAGGTGTTCCTTTCTTGAGATTGAGAATTTTAAATTCCAAATAATATTTTAACTATAATTTTTTGTTATTTATTTATAGCGTTACTATTTTATATAGCTAAAATTACTTATTTAAGTATTGTGTATGATAATTTAAAAGTCTAGATTTTTTAAAAATGATTTTTAGAAGTTAAAATTTTGGTCAGAATTTGTAAAAGGTCTGTCTGTGATTTTGATCATCCGATAATTTTGCACAATTTTTATGCTTGTCATTGTAACGTAACATTTTGGATGCATATAGAATTTAAACCACGTGAAAAAGTATGGAAATATTTATATTGGGGGATCTGGGGAGGGCTACATATGGAGAGTTCAAATAGCCCCAGTTTTTTGCCACTAGGAATAAGTGCTTCATTGCCGAATTTCTTTACTTTTCCACTGTTGTTTTGATGTTTTTTCTTCAATTAATTTTTAATAAATGATTTTATTTTAAATTTTATATGTGTTTATTGGGGTCAATAATAAAGCAGTAATGACAGGTTTTTACTGTACGTATTGTACACTAAAAAAAAGTGTGTAATAAAATTATTTTTCTGTCCCCAAACTAGGCAAAATAATTTACATGTGGAGTATTAACTGGACATTTTTTTCGATAACTTTCAGGCTTTCTCAAATATTTTATATAATTTTTCTATAAATCTACTCAAATTTTTCTAAAATATATTTATATTATATATTTTTGGACAAACTGAGTATTTTAGTACATTTTCCATTCATTTTTAGTTTAAATTTCCTTCTGTAAATGTGTTAAGCAACATATAAAGTTAAAAAAATGAAATAACTTTTGTATATTATATAAAATGAACGTATTCTACTACTATACATTTTTTAATGTATACATATATTATTAAAAAGGTTTTTATATATCATCTCCAAGGAATAGAAATTTAATTCAAGCTATGCATTATTAGAAAAAATTTTAATATTTTAGGTTATTTAGATTTCTATTGTAGAAAAAAATTTTAAAAAATCTGCATAGAAAATTTTTTAACCATAAAAATTATAAGTACAGAAAAAATAGCTATTGTCATTAATCGATTATCAAGATTCGATTAATTGACTTATCAAGGGGAACAAACCAATCTACTATTGATTAACAATGATGAAATTAAGCAAGAATGCTGTCTTTTCTTAAATAAGGATCAAATTAGTTATTTTGATAGAGTTAGATCAAAAGCTAGGAACAATACTCAATTATTAGAAAGATATTAGTCTAAAAAATTTTTGTCAGAAACAAAATCTAAAGTAAAAATGAATAAGGTATACTTCTTAATTTAAGTTATTCGTTAAGAACTAAATTATAAGAGATTCTTACTTTAGAAAAAGTATTTCTTGACACTTTCAATACTTGTACAAATTAATATATACCAAAGAAGACAATAATAGGAACATGTTTAAATGAATATATTATAATTTCTTCCATTTGTTTAAAAAACTTTGCTAAAACACTAGTCTCTAATGACAGCATTTAACAGTAAAATTATCTTGGGAATTTAAAAATACCATATCTCAGTTACAGAACAATACTTATTAAGTATATTATATGAAACTTATTTTGTACAAGTATTGAGAGTGTCAGGAAATATATATATGAGTATTAATATAGGTAAAATGTGAAAGTATTAGGGATTCTTTGAGGATAGAAATGTGCTAATTGTTAAATGTGTTTTACTTGTGCAGCTTTATGAATTTATTTAAAAGAAAACAAGTTACATTGATATATTTTAATGCATTTTTAGGCTGATATTGTTGATGTGAACCACATCTTCACAGACTTGGCTACATTGGTACATGAGCAAGGAGAAGTCGTGGGTAAGATTTTTCTGTTATACAACTGTTGTTTTCTGTTCTGTGTTTGAAATGATTTGAAAAAAAATATTTTCAGAATTGGAAAAATTAAGCACAACATTTACGAAGCTAAAAAGTTAATACAAAGTTATGCATTAATGCCTGAAATATTAATTTCTTAGATAAATAACTTGCATATTTTACTTCATCTAGCTATTATATATATTTGATCAGTCAGGTTTCTGAAAAATTTTCATGTTTTATAATTTTAATTATTAATTTTTGTAATATAGTTTGTAATAAGTTACATATGCATGAGTTGTGTAAAGTTTCAAAGGACATTACAACCAGTATTTGAATTTAATGTACAGTGGTGGCCAAACTGTGGACACTTTTGGAAATTTTTATGTTTTTGAAATTTGTATGCTTATAGAAAATGTAACGTTTCACAAAATGCAAACTTGTATATATAATTTTAAAGAGAATTTATTACTGAATTCAATACAAAACACAAAATTCAATTATTTGCAATACAAAAAAAGTTAAATGATAATAGTTATCGATATACATTAGATAGTGATGATTGCAGTGAGTTATCAGTACTTAGTAGGGTACCCTTTATTTTTGATTACAACTTCACATTGACATTTCATTGAGCTGACAAGAGTTCTAAGCTCTTCTTTCGTTATTACATGATTCCAGGAAACAATTATAGCCTCAATTAGTTCCCTTTTATTTGATGGGCGCCTCATTCGGACAAGAGTTTTCAAACGGTGCCACAAATTTTCGATAGGATTGAGGTCAGGACTGTTTCCTGGCCATGACAACAATTTAATGCTCTTTGTACAAAACCACTCTTTCGATATTTTGGCCGTGTGGCAAGGAGCAGAATCCTGCTGAAAAATAAACGAAGCATTGTTTGGAAAGAGATCTCTGATGGAAGGTAGAAGTTTTGGTTCTAGAATAGTGTCAATGATTTTCTGGCATTCAGTGTCCCATCGATGACATGAAGGCGACCAATACCATCTGCTGACATGCATGACCAAATCATAACACTAACTGGGTTCTTCACAGTTGCTTGAATGCAGTCAGGATGTAGCTCTTCTCCTATTCTACGTCTTACATATTTTCGCTCATCACTACCGAATAACGATATCTTAGTTTCATCACACTCATATAACTTGTGACCACTGATCATCTGTCCAATTAATGTGTTCCTTTGCCCACTGTAGTCGTTTTTTTTTTTTTTCCGTTTTGTTGCTGAAAATTAAGATAAGGCTTTTTTTCGTGGAATTCTACCTCTCAGTCCAACATCTGTTAATTTCTCCTGATTGTTCTTGAACTGACAGAAACACCAGCATCATTCAGATCACTTCTGATGGCCGCTGATGACATTTTTCTATCTTGGAGACAGTCTTTTTATTCTTCTGTCATCAATAGATGTGTGCACCTTTTTCGGCCTTTTCCTTCTTTGTTTTTTATTGAATTTGTCTCCTGATATCGTAAACAAAACTTTCGGACTCCAGATGTAGTCACTGAACCACCCACCTGTCTTGCAATTTCAGCATAGGAAAGACCACTTTCTCGTAACACAATAATATTACATCTCTTTCTAGGTGTCCAATCTACTTTTTATTTGATGTCATTGCTTCTTGACTAAATATTAAAAATTTTTACAAAAATTCCTACTTGTAATTGCAGTGTATAAGAAACAGGTCCTCCTTCTACAAAACAAAGCAAAATAATGAATTGTTTCAAGTGTAAACATGATGTCAGCTTCTACTGGCAGTTACTAACATTTGATTGTTTCTCAGAACAAGAACAGTGATTGGCCAGGAAAGCTAGACATATGAAACACAGTTATGAAGTGGTTTGTAATTTATATTAAAGTACATATAACTTTTTTTATATTGCAAATAATTGAATTTTGTGTTTTGTATTGAATTTAGTAATAAATTCTCTTTAAAACGATATATACAAGTTTGCATTTTGCGAAACGTAACATTTTCTATAAGCAAACAAAGTTCAAAAACATAAAAATTTCCAAAAGTGTCCACAGTTTGGCCACCATTGTATACATAACTATATATTCAAGGAAAAATATGTTTTTATTTCTGAATGAAAACACTATGTAACGTGGAAGATTATTTTAGAACATAGATTTTTTTATCACATTTGTTTGAAAAATATTGTTTGCAAAGTATATTCTACTTGCTTATTGTAACATTTGATATGCTTTAAAAAATACAGATAGTATTGAAGCAAATGTGGAACAAGCTCAGATTCAGGTGTCAGAAGGTACTCAGCAGTTAGCAAAAGCCAGGCGCCATCAGGTAACATTTTCTCTTATGAATTAATATTAATTCACAGATTTTATCATTTGAAAATATTATCAAAATAACTGAAAGGGAAATACAATTAATAACTTTTTTATTGTGTGATGTTTGACAATTTCTGTACGTATGTATTTTTTGAACTATGTCATAATAAAAAATATAAAATGTGTATGAAACTGGGTTACCACACTATTATGGAAAACCAGGAAAAGTCAGGAAATTAAAATATTTTAGCTAAAATTTGGGTACGTCAAGGAATTTTATATGATGTTCCTAAAATAATAATAATAATAATAAAAACTTTTGCTCCAGTGTTGAAAGTCGATTTCTTGCCATATTATATATCCCCACAGCATCATTCCCACAGGTAGCGTAAAACCAGTTTTCTCAGTGCCAATCAGATTATCCCTCAGAAAGGCATTTCAGTGGCCACTAAAAAAGAGCTGTATATTTATGTAGCATATTGATGGGTTGATTATAATGTAATTTAATTTCCTTTTAGAGTTATTTTCAGTGCTTGAAAAGATGTTTCAAAAAAGTGTTTTTGTTTTTTATTCTTAAATTGAGTATTATTAATTAGTTCTAAAGAATATACTTCAATCAATTAGTATGCTAAAATTATATCTAATTACAATATTGTGCTCTGAAGGCTTTCACTGTAGTTTCTCTAATTGTTTTCATCTTTTGTTTCAGGCTGCAGCAAGACGTAAAGCTTGCTTCTTAGTTATTGTATTCGTTTTAGTTGCAGCAGTCATTGGTTTGATAATATGGCTTTCCAAATGAAGGTGAACTTGATTTCCATGGATGGGAGCATTTTGTTTATTTAGTATTGCTATTGCTAATTTTATTGTAACATTTTTATTCGTTCTCTGAATAAGAAGCTGATTTAATAAATGTTAAGGGTCTGACCCAAAATGTGAATACATTCCAATGTGTACAGAAATTAAGCTGAAAAATGTGAAAAAAGTATTTTATTTATTTAGAATTTAATCATTTACAAGTTATAAGTAAAACCTGCAATATCTCATGTAGTCATTATTTTACAATTATGGATATTTATTCTTAGCTAATCTAAAAATACTGAATTAGTCACATTTATGTTATAAATAAAAATTAAATGTAATTTTTTAAAAAATGTCTTCTTTTATTTGAAGTATATGTAACTATATAAAGCAAATCAACATTTTCAAAACTCGACAGTAAAAAGTATAAATTTGCATAGTTGAACATAATTTCATTTCTGCTTAAGGCAGTGTATATAACAATTAACATTAGAATTATATAATATGTAGTAACTATATATACAAAATTGATGTTGCATATTAAAAAAATTATGCATATTTCTTACAGATGTGCATTAAAAATGTTTGTTTACACATGAGAACTTATTTTATGCGAATGAGTGGAGGGTTTAAATTATCAATTGGTAACCATCTTGAATCGTCCAGTGCTGTATACAAGTCCTGAAAGAAAAGTTAATCAATTACTCTAAAAAGCACAAGTGAACAAAGATAAAATTTTTGTGCAACCTAAACAGTGTGACATTATTTGAGAATAACTGCATTTACACAACATTTATTAGCTATTTGTAAAATTAACTTATTTTGCGGGTTTATTAATCCTTAGCACTCCACTGGTATGGAAGCATAATTTTTAACATGATTAGGCTTAGAGCTGCTATGTCACTATCACCGCTGGCAATTGATATATGAAGTTAAACTAAGTTTCTAAAAATGAGGTTAAATTATTTTATGGAATCTGGGAAGAGGGACTGCACTATGTGTTAAAAAAAGCAAGGAAAAGATGGCAGATGTCAAACCAGTACTATGACACTTGTCCAAGTAAACCCAGAATACTGTTGAGGGGGATTAATTTCGAAGATATATTACAATGAAGAAATAGAAAATTTAAAATTTGTTTCATTTATTAGAGGAATGCATACTTATAAAATAAATAAAACAAAAAACATTCACAAGCCTATGGTAATTCTTTCCATTCAAAGCAAGTATAATTTCTCATTTTTTGAAAATATTAATATTAAATTTAAATATAATAAATGATTTTGCCATAAAGTCATTTAGAAAATAAATTTTTTGTGTTTTGTGGACATTTTCAATAGTGCATATGAGAAATTCTGATCTAAAAGCATCACATTTCTTTTTCATGCTTTGATTTCATATTTTATACGAATTTCAGCAGTAACTATATATACAAGTAATAAAAAGTATACTATACACTTAATGGCATTTTTAAGCTTTAACAGAATATTACTGAGACACCCCTGAGCAAATTTGAAAGAGGTGACCCTCACAGTATATTTTTCGAGGGTGACAAATATAATTCTGCATTTTCCAGGGTGATAAATATTAGGCATCTCGTAGCTCTGAAGTTATCCAAGCTTTCCAGCAAGAGTTGCTGTCATAGTTCAATAGCAACTTTTTGACTTGAAAGAACTGTTTTGTTGGGCAAGATTTTTAAAACAGTCTGCATTATATTGATAACACATTTGTTTTATCATATGTGATACACATTGATATCACATTTGTTTTTCCCTAGGCCTACACTTCAGCAATCTGATCAGCTTTTTCCTTCAGAGTTCGATACATTTTGTATGCTGGCTAACCCCAGTGTATTATGGCTTTTTTGATTTTTCATTATCACAATATACAGTATCTTTCGATGCTAAAACGTCGTTTAACGATGTGAAATTCCACGAGTTTCTGCAAAAGCAGCTTGTGACTGATTTGATTTTTCAAACTCCTCAATAATATTTTTTTTTTTTTTTTTTAATCCAGAAATGTTAAAATGTTGCACTTTCTTGACATTTTACTGAAAGGTATGAGCAATCAAGTTTCTGCTTTTAAACTTAAGAAAACCAGGAATGACTTGGGAAAACTACTCATGAATTCAGCATGTGTGCTAAGCCCACAAATGCCAAGGGCACATACAGGGTGTATATACAGGAGTAGGAGAAGGTAGGGGAACTGACAATTCACTGTAAGCTCCCCTTTTCTTAAGATGGAATGACCTCGATTTCTAAACTGGAGGGGGACCTTGTATCTAAAAATGGACAGTTTACGTGAGTATGACACACAGTTACATGAGTAGCACATATTTTTTTAAAACTATTTTTCTATTCAATTAGTAGGGATTTTGGAAAACTGACGGTTTAATGAGGGTTGGCTGGCTCAGACAAGGATAATCTTGAGATTTCATTAAAGAAATGTTTATTGAATCAATTTGAAATCCATTATCCTTCTCAATTCATTTGGAGAAGTGCTGTTTAAAAAAGGAGAGTCTTTTTAAGAGGAATGCTTTCTTTGACTTCGGAAGAAGTTAAAGTTGTAAACTATGTCAAAAACTTTAGTCTAATTTCTCCCGTCCCAATACAATCTTCATTGCGAAGTTTTAAGCCTAGATGATATGAGTGGTTTCATGAGTATATGATACCATGTCAGAGCTACTAGCTAAGCAGTTTTACTTCTACATGAAGATCTATTTTTTAACTATTTATCCATTTGTATACAAGCAATAATTTACACTTTATAACTTCAAAAGAACATAATCTAAACTCTACACTCACAGTCTAAAGAAAGTGCTATGCAATTGACTTGGCTACCAATCTTATCCAACATACAATGACAAAACAGGAAAGGAAGAGGCTCCTTGTGAAGCATATTAAATTAAGCAACATGGGGCTAGTTACAACTAATTCTTCTTTTGTGCACATTTCAGTCAGTAAGTCGTCACAAATCCTTACAACTGCTTAAACTTACTCTTTTATTCAATTTTTATCAACATTTTGTTTTTTATTGGCTTTTATTATAAAACGTTATTTTCTACAATTATTGATTTTTTCCATGTACCTTGATTGAGCAATTACTTACCATTTGTTGAGAATGGTTATTCTAATATAATAACCCATGAATGTTCAATTGAATTTAAATCTGGTACACATCTTTTGGACCAAAGCATTTTGTTTACAGAGTACCTTTGCAAATAAATGCAATTACCTTTATATCTTTGATAATAAAATATGAAGTAGCTAGGAGAAAACATACGCTAAAGAAAGTGAAAGAAGTCATTAGGTGCTGAAAAAAAAAAGGGGTAATGTCATTTGGTGATCTTATCTGACTAATACATGTGTTTGCCTTTCCTCAGATTATTAATGTCTAGAATTACCTTGCAAAGAAAATCTTTATGTTGTCAATATAGAAAATGCTCCAGCCACAGGTGCTCTAATCACAATGTCTATGTACTATTTTTATTTTCATCAGGTGTTTTACAACTAAATGTATAGGAGACAAATAAACTTCTTATATAAAGATGTCTTTATTGAAGTCAGACATATCTTAATGTATGGAAAACTAGCTAATACAATTTCCTTGTGGTTTGTGAAAGAGTTGCCTCCTATTTCTTTTTAGCAGTTATAGGCAACAAATAAACCTGAAAAGTAATTGTGACATATTTTTGGTCTTAGTATCAACATGTTTGATTTGTGTCTTTCAAACATGTCTAGATTCTGTAGATGTTTTTCACTACTTTTAATCTTCACGTACATATGCATATTACTGTACTTTCCAACAGCACAGCAGTTTCACATACCAAATGCTTTCCCCAAAATATACATCATCTATTTGTAGAATCTATTCAATCATCAGCAGTCTTATTATAAACATCAGCAGTCATCATCAGCATATTATAAACATTATTATAAACATCAGCATATTATAAACATTATTATAAACATCAGCAGTCTTATTTCCTTCAACTTGTTACAGAACACAGAATTATTCCATGACAACAGTATTGCGCTGTCCATGTACTAAATTTCACTGATGAAAGCATTTTGTATAAATAATTAAAATTTTTTTAAACAGAATATTTGTTGTTTCACATCAAAGACTGGATATCCCCCCCAAATTATTCCAGTGGCTGCATATTTTCTGGTCAAACTTTTTTACTTCTCTCAACTATAAAAGAGTTTACATCTCCTCAACTTTTCTATAATAGTTATTTATGTAGCAGAAGAAATATTGAGTGTTTTAGATGACGATTACGTTTCACTAAAGTTTGATCACAGTAAGTACAGAACTCCTTGCAAAACCCTTGAAACAAATCACCACCAGACATCAGGCTAGTCCCAAACTGAGAAAGAAATGTAATGATCCCATGATCACCTTCAAACATTTGTAAGCACGATGAAATATCAATTTCAGACTAGTGATTTTCATCATTATGACAAAATAAATCATTTATTTAGAACAGAATCATATCCATTGTTAGTGTCTGAATCCCTTGAAAGCACTGCCAACTTATGCTTCTTTGCAGGTCTAAAAATGGCACTATCACTAGAATCATCTTCATAACCATTCAAACATCAATCCACACAGTTATTTGCATTAACCTCTTTGTCGTCCGTAACGCGTCTAGCGCATTCAAGTGAAACTTCTGCAGGGTGGCCATAACGTGCTTCAAACGTTCTGCTACATTTTAAACGCTTTCTAAATGTTTACTTGTTTGAGTTTTTATTTTTGTTTGTTCTAATATCTCCTAGAGGGCAGTACTAATCAGGCATTCTATTTCTAATTGAATTCCCCCCTGGTTTTATGAATATTTGCACCATTTTATGTAAGATACAAGACAGTGAGTGAGAGATCTTTAACGTCTACTCAACAGAAAAAGACAAAAAATGAGGCTGTGAATTGGAAAGACAAGAAGGATATACGTTTGATGAGTACAGTCCATAATAACTCTATGATTGATGTTGGAACATGGAAAAGAACTGTAAAAAAAAAAAAAAAAAAAGAGGAGTGGACCGCCTGGATCAGATGATATTAAATTAATCCTGCTGTTAGAAATAAGCAGAGATATTACTTTTCCATCATGCTTTATTTCCTTTATTCCACCTTGCACTTCTTTACAGGTTTGATAAGGTCACTGTCACTACAATCATTCTCACAACCATCAAAATATCCACTTACGCAATTACCCACATCTACATTTTCACTAGGAACATCTGATAAATTCAATGATAAAAAATTTCCGAAAATATTTCAGTTTTGTTCTTTTTTTGATTATCTGAAAGAGGTCATTTCTAAAATCATGAGAAGCTTGAAGTTATTGACTGTTCAAATTCACAAAATGCAATACAAACAACAGTAAATACGACCCTCTGCCAAATTAAGGCTTTTGAGTTAAATATATCGATCACTGATGTAAACAGCTAAATATATACAATATATAAAAAAAAGTGGCATTTAAAGACAGCATATAGAAAACATGAGTTATCTTACCTGTTGCATATGGCTCACAAACAACATTACATCGCAAAAGATAGTTATTGCATTTTTTTAAACTAATTTCCTCATTAATTTTATGGAAAAGACAGACTGGGCTTATGTTTGTTATTTATTTAAATAAATTCCTACCTTCTTCCAAAAATGTAAAATCTCTACTTTTTACATTAGTCTATTAATCAGTTATCCATGTTTAAGTTTCATTGTTGCAAAAATATAATAATTAAATAAAACTATTAAAAATGAAACTTAAGAAAAATTTTTTTAAAGAAATAAGAAAACTTATTTATTTCAGATTTTGTAAAATTTTTAAAGGCATGTGCACTTAAATTTGAGATTTTCTGTATTATAACCTCAGTAGTTTTTAATTTTTCAAAAATTTTGCTACAATATTTTTTCATACTTATCCCCATCCCTCCAAAAGCAAAACTGTTTAACATAACAGAATGTGAATATGTCTTATCAAAGTAATGAATTTTACATAACTTTTAATATTTTGATTATTTATTTATTTTTTGCATTTTTTTAAACATATAAAATAAATAATTAAATGAAAATCCCAATTACCTCATTTCTTTCCATCAATTCTTGATTAATTTGATCTATATCCAGAGGCACATCATGTTCTGTAAAATAAAGTGCATACATTAATTAAAGAATGCCTAAGAAAAAGTGTGACAGAATGTTCTGTGAGAGCAACAGACAAATGAAAATGCCCGTTTCCAATATATTTTAACTCGAAGTGGAACAGATTTTTAAGTCTGGTCATGAAGACCTGTACTTAAAAAGCATTTATTAGCTAAATTTGTGCAATTATTTATTTTAGTCTTTATTTTGATAAACATCCATTCATTAAGATGATATTTTACATAACTGAAGAAAATACAAAATCAAAATACGTTAAATTATATAAGCTAATAGATACCAAGTGACAAAAATTCTCATGACTGAGAGGATAAAGGTAGTCATACTACTTAAGGGACTAACAAGTAGTGTTTTAAAAAAATACTTGTGCATAAAATCGCACTATTTATAATTTTATCTTTTACATTTCTGATAGCTGTTCAAACTAAATATTTTTCCAGTGAGTTGCTATAATATTTGCATAACACAGATAATGAAACAAATTCATATCAGATTAAGTAGAAGGGGCATTTAAAGACGTTATTAATTTAATTTTTCATCTTGTATTTATTTTTAAATGTAATGCTTAATAACTTAAAATGTGGTCACAAAGGTTAAAATTTCTTCTTTCTGAATACTTTATTAGACTCTCATTTGCATTAAATGAAATTTTAAAAACTCATTCTGAATAAGGAATTGTAAGCTGAAGTTAGAAGATCTAGGAAAGTGGTATAAACTTAAAATACTAACTGTTATTAAAACTAACAGTATAATAAACTGTTATAAACTTAGGATATCCCTTACAGTATTTACAGAAACTAATCTCAGCTGGTTCATATGGAACTAAATGCCCATAACTTATATACTGGGTTTATGATGTTTGCCGACAGATATATGGATTTGAATTATTCAGTTAAGGGGAAGGAAACAAAGATTGTACGCCTATGAAAAAGGATGCATTTGTGGAGGATTTGTTAAGGGAACTGGTATCCCCTCCATTAAACAGGAACAAAATCACAAAAACTTTCCCATTTCATAAGGGATCACAATAATAGGGCTAAACTAATATTCATAATCTTATCTAACCAAAGTCTTGTTTAGCAGGTATGAAGATGGTCCTGATCCATAATCACACTGCTTAATAACTATATGCATTAAAATTTTCAACAACTGTATTGATTGCAAATTAGTTTATTATTACTTACAGCACATATTTTCATTAAATAGTTAAAAACCATTATTTATTTACAAATGAATGCATCTGTATGATATATTTTCCAGAGCTTCAGGTAAAAATAAACAAGCATAATTTTGTTGAGTCATGTAGATTGACTGTTCCTGTAGTAGGTTAAGTTATATGGATTATAGCAGAGCACAGCAATGATATCTGAAAGAGATATTTTTTTGAAAACCGACTGGCAAAAATCACAGAAAGCTTGTCCAGCCAGTCTCGTTCGCCGAGATTTAAACGATAATCTTAACGATCTTGCTACCCAGCTGCTGGTGGACTCTGAACGCAGGAGAATGGCTTCATAATCCATCCAAGGTCATCTCGCATAACATTCATAAAAGAAGAGAAACAAATCAAAGTATGGCATAAAATTAGGCAAAGCAATAACCCTACGTTTGGCGTACATTTTAACCAAGACTCTATTGATTTTGAGGGCATCAGGTGAAGGTCCCTCCTGATCAGAGGGAAGGAAATTCTGCATAGAAGGGAGCTGCATTTGCACCATAAGCAGTAAAAAGCACCATAAAACATAAACCATAAAACACCATAAACTTATAATTAACATTTTTGTTAGACATTGAGAGCATACGCTCAGGAGAGTGAATGCATTGTCATGTCCGCCTCAATAAAGGCAAATTACACATGCGTCAGAAACCAAGCTCTATGCTAAATGGCAGATATTATAAGCCAACAAAACAATCTATTATCTCCCTCCTGCATATATATATATATATTTTTTGGTAATCAATGGGATCTTGAACATACTGAGCAATTGCACGTACACATTTGGCTAGGAGCTCCATTAAAATTTCATCGATCCCATTGGGAACTCCTAGTTTAGACAGTATATATATATATATATATATAAAGCAAAGCAAAAGGATAAAGAATTATACAAGATTGCTGACAAGGAAGGTTATATCCATGATATAAATGTTTACCATAGAAAAAATAAATCTATCTTTGCATTAAGATAATTGTAAATTTGTTTGAAATTTGTGAGACAACAATTCTGACACACTTACCAGTATTCAATACTATAGAACTGTGCTAATTAAAGTACAGATATGAAACAAATAAAATTAATTTTTTGAAATTGCTAACTAGTGAATATGCATATTATTTCTTAATCCTATAGTCATTTAAAGACTGATTTAACAATCCACGCAAGTTCATAAAATAAACAGCCATTATATTAAAATCTAAGATGATTGTTAAATAAAATTACTGTTAATCTGATTTAAAAAGTAAAACATTAGATCATTAGTAAATTAAACATTAGATTTAAAAATTAAAACATTAGCCATCAGTTTATACGGCCAAACCTATACAAGCCATCATGTTTTCAGTCCAAAATAATGTAATTCCTTATTCATATATAATGTATGCTATATTCCCTTCACTGTTCAAAGAGGAACTAGTATGACTTGAGGCTTAAATTTTTATTCTATTATTTTCCTTTATAGAAAAATTATTCATCTTCCAAAACTCAAGTGGTTTTACACTACAAAATAATGGTAAAACCTTATTTCCTGATTCTCACCCAGTCCGGAATATTCTATGTTGGAAAAATTTCATTAAAGAATAAGAACTAGTATCTTTCCAAAGCACTGACCCATAATGCTGGGCATTTAGCATTATGGTACAGCTTCATTTTTTTTTGCATTTTTCACTGTTTTTACTAAAATTTCACAAATACAGTCACTTTAGAATGGTTGCAAACATACAAAGTTTAAAATAATTTTCATGACTTTTTCATCCTTCTTGATCTTTTTTTACATCTAATAATAAAAATTGTGTTCAGTTACTCTTTTTAAGCCTTTAACACTTCATTCAATTCTATATATATTTCTGTTCAGCTAACATTAAAATAATTGCATTTAAGATAAAGTTATCAATAAAATTTCTTTTGATAAACTTTTAATACAAATATTAAGGATTTCAATCTCATTCTTGCTGTTAAAGATAAATCTTAAATTTAGAGCAAATATCTGGGGGAAAGGATGGGGAAGAAATTAACATACTAAACATCAGTTAGTTAAAAGTATCTTTAGAGCCCTTTTAAATTTGACTAAATTAGGATAAAAATTTTATGCAATTTAAAACATACCTTCAATAGCATTTTCAGGAATTTCATACGCCGCTTGAGCATACTGTAAATGCAAATTGAATGTTAGAATCAATAGATACAAAATTACAACATAAAAACTAATAAGAAATTCATACTTTAAGAAAATGTAACAGGTAGTAAAAATTTGGACCTAGTATATTCAAACTTGCCTGAATTTAAATTCAAATTAAAGGCTGCAGAAACATTCTTTAGAAGAAGAAAGTCAGTCATAAGCAGCCGCTGCAACAGAATGCAGCATACAGTGAGGTTTTAGATAATTTCTTTTTATAGATTATGAAGTTAATGTTCACGAGCCCGGTTTGTGATGTTTATGTTCGGCATGGCTTTTTGTTCACGAGCCTGGCTCGTGATGTTAATGTTTGGGACAAAAATCTTCATCACGAGTCAGACTTGTTAAAGCACAGGAAGGGGCTAATGGCAAGAATTATGGTCAGCTTAGACCCATTTCTTTTTGTTTTCGGTTCCAACTGCAGATTTCAATTTTTTACCTGTCACGCAAATCCAGTGGTAATTTTTAATCATCAATCAATATGTCTTCTATTTAGATAATTTTTAGATATTAGATTTTCTCTTTTAGATAATTTCTTTTAGATAATTTTTAGGTTTTAGATAATTTCTTTTTATCAATAATATCAATTTTTTAGATAATTTCTTTTAATCATGTGAAAATAAACTAAGTTCATGAAGACTTTCCATTATCGATAATGAAATTGAAAACATGTTGCAGTTAAAAATAACGCAAAATTAATAAGCTAAGAATAATAAATACTGATTTGTATTCTAGCAGATTATACCTTGTATTGGCTGTCAATAAAAAAGCGAATCATCACATTTCAGACATGCCATTCCAAACCTTAACTACTAAATTTGTGAGGATATAGTCCTCTACGATTTTCTTGCTGCAGACAAACAATCACAAATTTATTACATGTTACTTAACATGCACAGAATGCTATCAGGAAACTTCAGAAACAAACAGACATAGTCAGCAGAAAGAACTACTCATTAGGACGAGACACACCACTAGTGATGAGTCGGTACTACCGAACCGGGTATTTTGTAACGGGTACTGAAAATCGGTACATCCAAGTATTCGTTACTTCAGTACCGAAATCGGTACTTTTCGGTATTCGTTACTTCTGTACCGAAACGGGTACTTTTCGGTATTCGTTACTTCTGTACCGAAACGGACACTTTTCGGTATTCATTACTTCTGTACCGAAACGGGTACTTTTCAGTATTCATTACTTCTGTACCGAAACGAGTGCTTTCAGTATTCGCACTTTGTAACGAAAATATGCGTCTCTTCTCGGTATTTGTTACTGGGGGATCGATGAGGGTTCAGCTCACTTCTTCGTTTGGTAATGACATTAGTATGGGTTGTATGCGAAATGTGAGACACTTCCTTGTGTCATGAAGGCCTTGTCCTCAACACTTACGTCGTTGACATGTTTTCTGAATTCAAAATCCACTCCGTACAATAAAACCAAAACGTGGTGACCGTGGCAAGTTCACCTTCCAGTACTCATTACTCCCAGAATTTCGTTACTTCAAATCGTTACTTGAAATCGGTTTTCGATACTTTTCAAAGTAACGGATACTTGAGTAACAGGTATTTTGTACCAGGTACTTGACTGTACCCGGTACCGAAGTTGCCCATCACTACACACCACATACTGCAGAACTTACAAATAGGAAGGTATGAGTTTCAAGAATGAATGAACTTCCTTATTTTCTATGTATCCCTGTTCTTTCTTCAAATGAACAATATTTCTAGATTTTAGACAATCACAGCAATAATTGAAAAATAAGCTATTCCACAATAATAAAATAGACATGGATGGATATATGCTTTTTACTTCTAATGTTAAAATGTTATTGAAAAGCAAAGTTTATAAGCTTATATCAATAAAAGGCTGCTGACTGCAAAAGCATTGATTAAAAAAAAAAAAAAATTATGCTATTGGCTTAACTTTCTTTATTAAAAACCACATGAATGTCTCGTCTGTACCCGTTACTCTCATACCGGGTACAAGAAAGTACCAAAGTTGCCCATCACTACACACCACATACTGCAGAACTTACAATATAGGATGAGTTTGGAGAAGAATGAAACTTCCTTATTTTTCTTGTATCCCGTCGTTCTTCAAATGAACAATATTTCTAGATTTTAGACAACACAGAAATATGAAAAATAAGCTTCCACAAATAATAAAATAGACATGGATGATATATGCTTTTTACTTCTAATGTTAAAATGTTATTGAAAGCAATTTATAAGCTTATCTTATATAAAAAAGGCTGCTGACTTGCAAAGCTTGATTAAAAAAAAAATAAAAATTATGCATGGCTTAATTTCTTTATTAAAAACCACATGAATGGTTTTAGTAATCTGGTAAAACACCATTTTAAATAATATTAAAAATATAGATAAAAATTATTAAAATTATTCCTAGAATTAAAAATGTTCATAGAAAAGCATATATATATATTATACAAGTATGAACACATACTTGGCTTGCTGCCTGTGTTGTTGTTGCAACTGCTGCAGTTGTAGCCACAGCAGTTTGTTGGGGATCTGCATATGAATATTGCTGAGAGTACTGCTGATAAGCAGCTCCATAACTTGCAGCATATCGATCATAACTATAATATGGATTTTGTGCTTGATAATTCTGCAAAGCTGCATAGTAGCTCTGGTAGTCTGGATATTGTTGATGCCATTGTTGCCACTGTTGTTCCTCCTGACTGGTTGTAGATGTTGTAGTGGTTGCAGGTCTAAAAAAAATCAGACAACATAACTTCAATAAATATTTCATATTAAAAATGAAACAATAATCTTGACTTCCCTTCTCAATGATACAAAATATTTTAAGGGTCATATATTAAGGAACATGGAACATGAGTTGTTTACCCAAATGAAAAATATCTGAAACATCAACAATATCTATTATACAAAAAACTAATTTAATATAATAAGCTAATTTTATTTTTAAAATTTATCTCACTAACCCTTTTTTCTCTTCATTTACTTTAACTCTGTAGTGGATATGTTCTGCTGAATTTATATCTGGGAGGGGAGAGCACGTTTGAACATATTTACCCAAGTGCATGGAAATAATTTAGCTCAGTTCACTTGGTTGAGAGCATTAAGAGGTCAAAAGATAGTGTCTGTCTTCCAAAGGAATGTAGGCAATTTTGAACACATAATGAGTCCTCAAGAACTGCATAATCATAATATTCAGTGTTGTTTCAAAATGGTAAAACATAAAAAGGTATAATATATTCAAAGCGAGGCATTTTAAGAGTAAAATTCTGTATTAAGGATGCCATTTTAACGATTAAGGGATATAATGAAGAGTTCACTAAAGATCTATATTTTAGCATTATTGCGGAACGAAAAGAAATAGAGGAACGGGAATTTAACGAAAAAAAAACAAGGAAACGCGAATATAACGAAAGAAAGAGATAGAGAAGCAAGCACGAGCTGAGAAACTGAAAATCCAAGTAGCTCGTTCAGGTGCTAGTCATGATTACGTACTGCTTTGAAACTCACTGACAGGATATTCGAAGTTAAAAACAAACTTAATCCTCACTTAATCAAAAAGTAGACATGGCCTTTTTCTCACTTTGTTTGAAAGGCAACTAACAATTTGAACTACCTCAGGGAAATGGGTATGTATTCTTAGGTTGTACCTAATGAGTGCAAACTGATTCAAAGGAATCTGCTGGTGAGACAAGATTATGACAACATTAAACAATTCCTTAAAGCGTTTTAATGAGTGCTGAAAGTTTCGACAGTTTTTAACAAGCTCACAAAAGTCCTATAGTACTTGGCGGAGATTTTTCGATTTGAAATTTCTTTTGATGGGGGATTGGCGAATTAAAAGTACATTTTTTTAGAGTAAAGATTGATGAATCAGACCAAATTAAAAGAGGTCCCCTCTGAGTATGAGAACTTTGGGATCATGCCTCTATGGAAGATCTTCAACGGGCTGAAAATTGTTATATGAAGAAAGCTAAAAACCTCAAATAACACTCCAAAGCCGTCTCAACGTATTGGTCCTAAATTATAAAATAACCCTCAACTTGTTACAACTCAGCGACAAGACTCTGGAAAATAAGACGACAACGTTAGTTGTTACGGTTGTGGAAATCAGGCGCGTTAAGGCTAAGTGTCCCACCTGCTCTCCTTCTTTAAGTAAGATCCTGACTTCAAAGCATAAACTTACATACAGTGTCTTAGAGACCCTCACACGACTCTTTAAAGTAAAATCAACGGATTTTACAGGAATTGTCTGTGCTGATAATGCGATACTCACACTATAGTGGGGAAACATTATAATCTCTTGAAAGAACAAGGATCAGAATTTAAAAAACTCTATGAAGTCACTATGCGACAGTATTCAAAGGACGAAGAGGTCCACATGACCCGGTAGACTCAATTGAAGGAAGTCATTCCCATACTACATGCGTTCCTCAGCAAAGGTAACAGACCTTTAGGAGTGGATTTTCTTAGAAGCGCTGAATTGATTTAGATCTACAAAATCATTGGTGGTTTTACCACGATAATCCACAACAAAAGTTTAAGTTTATTGATGATGATTCTAAACCTAATGATCAACCGATGTAGGTTGGAAGTGACACTGTACTGTTACGAATGTGAGGACAACACTATGGCTCATCAAGATCACAATAAAGAACTATTGAGTCATATTCACTATCTTCCAACAGGGGAAGAAGCAACCCTTTCATAGAACATCGAATTAAACTGAAACATCCCCCAGTAGCGTCCACCATACAGAATGAACCTGTAGAAGAATCTAATATTATCTAAGGAATATTGAGATGCGAATCCCCTTAGGCTCGCCAGTTTTTATTACCGAACCTAATGGAACAGTACGACGATGGCATAATTAACCGCAAATTGAACGCGATTACAGTCCAGATTCCTACCCCTTCCAAGAATGGAGACCTGTACATGAGGCAAACCTACTCCTTTCAGTCAACCCTGATCTCCGGCAGGTTATCACCAAGTGAAGGTTCTACTGATGATCAAGACAAGACAGAATTTGTGTGTCCCTTCGGAGAGATCTTTCTTACGAATGCCCCCAGCAACATTCCAGAGATTGACTTAGACAGTTTCGCAATGACTTGAGAAACATCTAACCCTCACCTATACTGGACGACATAATCGTGTTTGTCGAATAATTCGAGAAAAACACCTTTCTGGGACCTCAAAGCGGCTTTCGAAAGGCTGTTCTATTCAAATTGCCACGCACAACGAGAGAAAGAAGAAATGCCACTTGCTTATTCTCGTGTAAAATATTGTGATTTTGGATCACACAAAAAAGAATCGAAGTTGATCCAGAAAAAGTTTCCTCTATCCAGAGAATTCACCTCCCAAAAACGTCACGAGAGACTCCAAATCTTCCTTCCAAAATGTTCTTGGTTTAGACAATATAACAAAACTGCGCCGAAATATCAAGATCTTAGTGATTGACGAGACGAAAGTCCAATGGGAATGGGGTTGTAACCAGCAAAAAAGCATTTGAAACTCTAATAAACTGCTCAAACACTCCTGTTGAAGCAGCAAATGGAACTCAACGTATAATTTCGAACAGATGCAGCTTATGCTCTGGGAGGGGTTTTACTTCAAGGGGAAGGGTCTAAAGAGCACCCTATCGAGAGCCAGCGATGCTTTCTCCGGCTGAGCACAACTATTGACGACTAAAACGAGAAGCCTTCTGAGTCTGGACCTGGAAGAAATTACGTGGTTACGATAGGAAGGTCAGAAAGTTACATAGCATCCGAATAATCAAAACTAAAAATGCTTTTGAAACTTAAGTCTACAACCGCAAGATGCTAGAGGGCGCTGGAAATCCAGTCTTCAACCTGAAACGACAACATTTGGAAAAGGCAACGTCATCAAGAATGCATGTCCGTACAAGCGCCAAACGGAATTTCACATTGCGACTTTCAACTTATCTGTGGGGACTGCCCCCAGACGTCCCCAGGCAGGGCGTCTCACTTGCCAGAGGGAACTTCAAAAAGATCTAGAAAGTTTGAATCACTCGGCGAATGAAGAATGTGCCATCCTGGCCTGAATGGGGATCTCTGATCAGGTGTTCTTCTACCGATATCCGGACCTGAATTCAGACGAGGCCCCAGTGTAGTACTTCATGCCGAGCGTGAATTCATGTGCGGAAAGCACCATGATAACCCATTGGTGGACATTATGAAGAGGATAGAACATTCCAACAAATTGCAGCACATATTATTGGACTGCGTATGAAAAAAAAATATAGACGAGTGATAAATGCAAGAACCGCACTAAAAGGCTACCAACCAAAAGCCAGCTGACTGCTAGAACTCCGTTAGTCTCAACGTTTTGGTCCTATCTATGCTTGATTGGACCACTGCCAAAAACGGAGCACTGGAAAAGAAGGGATATTCATTGTCAAAGACCTGTGTTACGCGATGGATTGAATTGTTCCTCTTGCTCACGCTACAGCAAAAGGAACACCGCATATATAACCTCATCGAAGAAGTATCAACGGCCACATGGTAAACCATGAGAATCTAACGGCACCAGGTTAATCAGTGCAAGTCATGCAACAAGTTGGCACACATTAAATATCATCAAAACTTGAACCAGAATACTTTCCTCAGTCAAATCTGTCGACGGAACAATAGAGACTTAAAACCTGTCTGTTCTTAGTAGGAGATGGACTGACAACTGGCCGTAGAAACTCCCGTATTGGGTTTCGCATGAATACAGTCTTTCTGTAACACTACAGCCATACATCGCTTCTAGGTTGGAAAAGCAGGGTGAGTGATGTCGACGACGTGTTCAAAATTTCAAAGCTATGGTCGAACATGCTAACTTTGTTACTGTAATCCACCTATCTTACAACAAGTAGAACTATTACAAAGGCATAGGAAACGTATCGAAATAAAGCAAGATCAACGTAAAAGCAAATATGATAAGGATGGCGACAAGTGTTTTAATTCACCAGTGATAGGTATGGGTCAATTGAATCCCATTAGCAATGCAAAAAAAAAGACTTCAAAGTTCATACCAAAGCAGAGTCCATACCTGGTAGACACAAGAAATCACATACTTCCTATGTTATTTCAAGCATTATAAAAATCAGAACCCTAGTGAGCGTACCATACGTTTGCACTAACACATTTCAAAGACTCATCCACTTCTATATTCTTCCGCTCAGGAAGAGAGGTAGACGCCAAAAGGTACTTGTGATTCCCGAAATAATCAAGAACTTGTGTTTCCGGCCAGTGCTCCAAGAGAGGCCCCTGCCCAGCGAAACCCAAAAACAACTGAGGAGAGAAAGTTACAAGAGATCCCAACCAATTCTGTCACCTTGAGGGACATCGGGGAGCCAGAGGGGGAGTTGTAAAAAGCATTAACATAAAAACTGTTGGAAACTAATGTGACAAGACTGCCCTCTGATGAGTAGCCAGAGAACGACTTCAGTAAAAGCAAGCTCCAAAGATAGGTTGCCCACGACTGTTGCTCTGTCATTTTCTAAAGTTAAATGTTTGTCCGTGTGTAACTTAAACCTGTTAATAAATATTTGTTACACTATACCGGACTCTTTTATGACCCTATCTAAAACGACCCCTTTACACTATTATTTAAATTCATTGATTAGTACCGTCTGAAAAAATTCTCTGTATATGTTTACTCCAATTACAAAGCATTCAAAATATATTGGGTAAAAATATATAGTCTTCACGTTTTTTTGTCCCTAGAT